GGGCAACAGTCTCTTCGAGTGGAAGAAGAGCGAACCGGTGTGGATGAGCGAGTACGAGCCGCCTATTCAGTTCTGATTGGGCACACTGTGTGCCTTCTCAGCTGCTGTTTTTGAAGCTAAAAACGATTAAAATTTCAAAGTTAGGTTGAGTGTTTGGCTCTAAATTTAGGCCCAGTTGAAGGTGTAATAATGAAACCGAAAGACAGCTGTGAAGCCTTTAATTGTAGTTTGTGAAAATGCATTCCATCATCATCATCAGCTGATATTACATCAAGTAAAAAGGAAATGGGGTTCTCTCTACAAATAAAATTAGGAAAAGGCATAAAAGGAATAATAAATAATAAGGAATAAGAAGGTTGAAGATTGACGATTGTTGTGTATTATATAAGGAGAAAGAAATTGAAGAAGAGTAAGAGGAGGAAATGAAAAAGTCTAAGACGACTGCTGCAGAATCGGGTAGTAGTTCGACAGTGAAAGGAGAGGGGAGCACTGCAGAGTGGAATGAAAAAGTGACATTTAGCGATTTGAAAAACAGACAGGCAGAGACACACAAGTACGCAACTTACCTTTTTACTGGTAGCCAGATCCATTTGGCGAATGTCCAGCAGAGTCCATGCGGCTGTACTTTCCGCTGAGCAGAGTAGAAAGGAGTGAATGTGATGGTTTTAGAAAAATGTGAAGGAGGAGATTGAAGGTGAAGGCGGCAAGTGAAGACAAAGTAGGCGAAGCAGTCAGAATTTGTACAGGAGGACTGTTCAGAAGTTCAGAAGAGATTTGGGACGGTGAGAGTGGTGAGAAAGAGAGAGAGGCAGACCGAAGAAGAGAAGGGAGATCACAAAAAGTTTGGCGAGTTAGAGATTTAGAGTGGGAGTGGCAATGGATGTGGTAATGGGGGCGAATCTGTTTAGAAAGGACTGCTGCAAAGGTTAATCTTCTCAAATGATCCAAAAAAGTTCTCGTCGCTAGTGAGAGAAATTGAAAGGAGGGGAGGCACTCGTGCGATAATAAGGGGGGAGTGTGTGAAGAGGACTGCGAAATCATGGGCGGCGATCAGAGAGAGAGAGAGAGAGTTTTTGTTGCGGTTCTTCTTCTCCTCATCACTATTCTCCGTCCTACTTCTCCTTCCGCAGAAGCCTCTCAGAGAGACGCCCAAGTCCCCTACCAGAGGCTTCTCTTATCCGATTACCGCCCTTGACCGCTTTGCTCCTCACATATCGAGCTGCTGCGGTGATGCCACTGGTCCAACAACATCCTAGCCGAGCACGTTGATCTTGCTCTTTTCGGTAGTTACCTTTGACCGAACCGATGGCACAACCAAACTCTAGCACTTCTCGATTACGCAGTTCGAGATCAGCGGACGGAACAGCACCAGTAGCAGCAATGTGATTATGGATGTTCAATTGAACTAAACTTCCGTCTTGAAAGTTGTNTTCACCAACCTTCGACTCTGCTCCTCTGCCTTGATGGTGGCCCCGACGGTGAAGACCTCTTCGGGGTTGATTCCTGTGAGGTGCTTTTTTCCGTGGAATAACCTTTTCACCATCTGCTGAACCTTTGGAATGCGAGATGATCCACCGGCGATAATGATCGCATCAATGGCTTTCTTCTTCAGGCCCGCCTCATTGAGCACCTTCTTCACGGGATTCA